GGTCTTGAAAAAAGTGCGAATCTGGAGGAAGCACTTGGCCCTGTGGTAAGCATGTCCTTGGTTGTGGTTATTCAAACTACTTTTGTCTAGAAATCACACTGGACATCTTGTAAAGACCTTCTGCATTGCCATTCTTTGTTCCAGCTGTGAGGGAGATATTCCCATAACAGCCTCTCTCATGGTTGTTTTGCAAATCTGCTTGTAAACTTCAGGAACTTCATCTGGTGATCTAAATGATTGGTTTGGTTTTATGTTTAAAAAAGGTAAACATTAGCTTCAGATCTAAATTGTAGTTATATATTCCTGGAGCTGTGTTACTCTGATCTTACACTGATGCAAAAATTTGTGATGAGTTAAGACAATTATTAAGATCACTTATCTTGCAGTGTTCCTTAAGCCTGCAGGAGAGAATATAGCTCCTAGTCCGTCCCATGTAGTTGGTACATCATCAGTGAAATGGCATTTAATAGAACTCTGTCATTTCAATGGACTTCTTCAATCCCTTCCCCACATAGAAGGGTACAGAATTCAGGGAGGTTTATTTTGATTGAGAATGTCAAAGGACCTCCTGAATATACCTCACTGACTGGAGGTAAAGACCTAGTGTCTTTCTTTGCCTGTGGCAGATTACCTCAGAGCTTTATTAACAGAGAGGGGTTCTATTTTCTGCATGTATTTTTCCTTGTTTTGCTACAAGTAACATGAATAAATAAATAACCTGAACAGCGCTATAATGAAGGATCAGTGGGTTAATTGGAAAGATGAGTGGAAAGTGATCATCCCCTCTCCAGCTGAGCACCTGCTGCCAAGTTAATTCATGCAGCAGTGCTGGAGGTTGTTCTGGAGGAGATTCCTGCTGTGTTGTCAGCTATGGCTAAGGGGAATGTCCACAGAGGAGAAAGCAAATCAGATGAGATTACTGCTAATCAGCTGCTAGGGTTTATTTTCAAGTTCTAGGAACCAACTAAAATGTCTCTTAGAGGGTCATTGTTCTTCACTCAAGAGTCACATCTCCAGCAACACCAAGGTATATTTATTCGTAGCAAAGAAGGGGAAGGAGTTTGTTGCTAACAAAATTCCCAAGGTAAAACTGAGTACTTGCCATCCAGTGACAAAACAATTTAGTCATTTCATTTTGCTTTTCCTCTTGACTACTTCTGCCCGTTTCTTTCCAGGCACAACAAATTCAACTTTAGTCTAACACAGCAGTTTGGGTTTGTTTTTTTTTAAAAAAAAACACCCTCTGTAAAAAAAGAAAGGTTATTCTTTTTTCTCCTTTTCTTGCATCTTTTCTTACATAGTACTAACTATTCAGCCATTACAACTTCTTTTACACTTAAATAGTTCAGCTAAATGTCCCAGATATCTTGCATATCTTTTACTTTATCTCATTTCTTTTGAACTTGAATTGATAACCATTACTCAGCATAGCTTCACTGATTGGCTGAAATGGGCACTGTATTTTCTCCATCCCTCCTCCTTCCTCTCGTTTTTTCTGCCCTCTTCTATTCGCCTCTTTGTAGTACTCTTCCTTTTTTTTACTTTGTTTTAGTCTCTGATTCAGGCTTATTAGAATTTTCTGAACCAGGCAGAGTAGCAGTGAGTGTGTCAGAAAGAAGGAAGGGATCTGAAGCTGTCACCAACAGGAGCAGCTTCTTTTTTTCATTTCTTCTTAAAGCAGGTGCCTTAGCTCTTTTGCATATCTGTAAAGGGCAGGGATGCTAGGGCTCAGCATATCAGTCCCTTTCTCCAGCTTGGACAGAGAAGGACTGTACCAGGCTTATAGGAAGGAACAGGCTGTATCAGTACAGATTTCTAGTGCACAGGAAGTCACTGTGGAATATAACTGTAAAAATCTCTGGAGTTCTGAATAAATGACTGCAGATGTGATACTTTTGAGTGGGATTTATCTCAAGGACAGAAAGAGCTGGAAATTGAGCCCTGCATAGTTTTTTTTCCTTTGAAAGGTTAAAGCAAAAGGATTAAGGATGCAACTTATGCTGAGGTATTTTTAATTTCGCAGGAGAAAGTGAAGTGGACAGATAAATTTATTTTTCAGTATTTGAAAATGGGGAGAATGCAGAGGAGGAAAAGAACACTATCAGATAAAAAAATGTACTTTTTACACATTGCAGTAGGTGTGGTAGTCACTGTTACTTTGGTAAAGCTATACACACCAATATTCAGGAAAACTTAGTTACAATATTATTTTATTAACATAACATTTCCCTTTGTTCCTTACAGTTCAGCTAGAGAGCAAGTATGACACTGGAAGTGGTTTAACTTGCACACCTGTGTTTAAATCTCTGACACATTCAACCAAGGAGGAGGAGTGCAGTTTTTGCTTAATTCTAAATGTGTGCTAATTGTTGACTTAAAACATACTTGACTTTTCCACTGCATCATAGTGGCACATATCACACTGGGTATCATCAAGGAGTTCAGTCCTATTTGAGTTGTCAGAATCCTTAAGAGCTTATACCTGAAATTTATCTTCAGTAAACACATAGGCATCCTTTAATTTTAAAAAAGGCCGTGAGGAAGGACTAGACTATTTATTTAGCTCCAGGGTGCCATCAGTTTTGATTTGACTGTTTCCAACTTGAATAGATAAAAACTCAGGATTCCTGGAAAGAAAACTCATTAGGAATCCTTTTTGTTCTTCAAAGGTATTATGAAGTAGCCATATTTGTACTGCTTTATAAAGTAGTTAATTTTTTAGTTGATCTTCATGTTTTACATACTCTAAATGCTATGAAAATGCTGAAATTATTACATAATCTGCAATATAAATTATAGTAAGAACCTCTCTAGGCTGCATAAGTGTGATTAGTAGGTGATTCCACCATGGACGGGATACAGTGCGACTGCAAAATCAAAGACCCTGAACTTCAGAAGGAGCCTACTTGAAGTTCAGTTTCTTTGTCACTGAATGGGAAAACAAGCCGCCTTTGCCCTGTTTTATGAGACAATTACCCATGTGCTTAAATATCAAATAATCTTTCTTCATCTTTTGTTTTATGGCAGTAATGAATTAACTGTAGGAGTTCTCTACTGATTGATACCTTGATATAGATTCAGGACATGATAGAGTTTAGTAATGTTTCATTCTGTAATCATTATATTCTGTAACTACCTTTATTCCTTACTAATATGCCTACTTACTAAGAAGGACTTCAAGAATAAAATACTGTATTTTAATTTTTTTTTTGGATGTGAAAAATGTCTTTGCAGTATTTGCTTCGTGACTGTTTTCCCCTTCTTCCTTCTCTACATCTTTCTCTGGCTTTTGTATTTCATGTATTGCCAGCTATTTCAAGCATACATGTCTTTTATGTTGGGGCAGTGATACATGCTGCACAAATACCATGGGCTGTCAGAAATGTTCCTGGTGATCACAGTTAGTACAAATTAAACATTTCTAAACTATTTCATGTTTTCAGGTGAGTACCTGACCAGTACCAAGATCAAAGTAGATCCAAAACTTTCTTACAGTCACTATATGTATATGTATACACATGTTGTCATGCACTTCAGGTACCTTTTTTTGGGTTTAAACTCAAGAATCGGGTCTTTGTTGTATCTGTCATATGAACGCTGCCTGTCTTCCAAGTCTTCTCTTCCTTATGACTGCTCCATAACTCTCAGTAATTTCTTTCCTTCCATGGAATGGCATTTAGTGATTGCATATGCCCATTTTATACCATAAAATATCAGGAGACTTACTTTTGTTCATGATACTTTAGGAAAATTAAATTTGGTAGCACAGGGGAAGAGAGGTTAATGAAAGGAGCTACAATCTCCTTCTCCCAAATATGATGTGCAGCTTTATTTTTAAATTGTTGTTGGATTCCTTAGTAACACACACATAGATTCGTATTCTGTGTGTGTCAGAATCTTTTCATTAATTTGTGGTGTTATTTTTGATGAAAAAGCACAAAACCCCAAACTAGTACGAGTCAACATGCACTCTGTTAGTATATAACTTATAATACTGAATTTTTTTTTTATTCTACAGCATAAAGCAGTTAAAAGCAAAAGTGAATATTCAAGTATGTAAATAAAGTTGTTTGCATATTTGATGCACTCACTAATCGTGGTTTATACCCAAGCATTCTGGCACATACAAGACCATTAATACTTGATAGTAGAATGTTGTTTAATGGCTCAAATCTGTAATTCTTACAACTATTCACAATAGAATCTATATGATTACCCTAAGTAAAATCAACTTGTAATCATTTTGATGGTGACTATGAAAGATTTAACTGTGTAACTTTATGTCTGTGTAGGATGCCATGTAGACAGATGGCTCTGTATGTTTCTGAAATTAAGTATCTGCATGTGTATGCAGAGGTAAGGAAGTCCTAGACTCATTTCCTCTGCCTGCCTTCATAGGAGACACATTCTGGTTTGGTTTGTTCTGTTTTCATCGTTGAGGCCCAATAAATGCTGAGATCGCTGGAAATTAGGTCTACAACTTTTAATACATTCAGCTTTTCCTTTATTTGTCTTTATATTGCTCATTAATAAAAAAGAAGAATCTTTTATAGCAAGGCAAAATATTGTGCAATTTGTGTTTATAATGCATGGAACATTTGTTTTAATTGATGAATGTGCTTTGTGAAGTTTGGGTTACTTTAACATGTCATTTCTCTCTTTGTTGTACTGGTGGAATATTTATGACTGTGTGACTTGAAAAACAGTGATGAATCATGATGGGAATACATCTGTAGGGATGTATACAGAGAAGAAAGTGAGGGGTTGCCATTATGATCATACCACATGACACAAGAAAATGCTTATGTTGCAGTCTTTCACGTGGGGCATGGGCAGCCGGACGGAAAGGGGAAGGATTTCTGTGTCACATGCTGCTGGTATGATGAGTATAATAAATTGCATATGTGTTTGTATAGAGGTTTTCTGAATGTATTAAGCAAAAGCTGTGGTTTTAGCAGTTACTCTATGTGGTGAAGCAATGCAAATTTTCCCTTTTCCAGATAATACTCTCAGCATATTGGCAAAGCATAGTGGATTCAGCCGGCAGAAGCAAGAAGTATATCTACTGCCAATCATAATAAGCGATAGTGGCAATCCTCCCATGAGCAGCACTAGCACTCTCACTATTCGAGTCTGTGGTTGCAGCAGTGATGGTATTGTCCAGTCCTGTAACGTTGAAGCATACGTACTTCCCATTGGACTTAGTATGGGAGCCCTAATTGCAATATTAGCATGCATCATTTTGCTGCTAGGTATGTATTCATTTGACACCCCAGTGTTCAAAATTTTTCTGATTCCTGGGTGGCTGTAAGTAAGCAAGTCAGTCACATAGAAGGACATAAAATCTAATACAACCTCATGTGCAGCAGTACTGAAAGACTTGTCAGGACTGCATCTCTGCTGTACTAAGAACTGAACAAAAGCATGTAAAGCAAAGTCCCAATCTGAAGTAGTTTTACACACAAATTATATACCTGTTTATTACAGGTATGGAATATGAAACTGAAAATTGAATCAGGTATGTTAAATAGCAAGGTGAACAGAACATATACTGCACATGATGGAAAATGGATTTGTTGTATCTTCTATGCTGCTGTATATGACATCAAGCCAGGGAGAGAACAGTGAAGGAAGAGGCCTATTTCTGCACTTTGCAGCTTCACTTTCTAACTGAGATTTATATCAGTAACAGATTTCAGCATTAAGCTGCAAAAACAACAGTGTAACCGATTTAGAGCTTTTAATGTATCATGATTCTGAAACTGATGTATCTAAGCTCTTTCTTTCTCTCTTGCTATCTCATTCTCTTTCGTTTATATAATGTGAGCCTATTGCAACACATAAAAAAAAAGACACCAATTTCCTTCTGTCATTAGGGCTATGCTTTCAGAAAAACACCCTCTGATTTTGGAAAACTCCATCCATAATGTAGCCCATTATAGACAATGTTCAGTGAATGATGATAGCTTGACTTCACCTAAGTTTGTAAATTTTCCAAAGGGAAAAGTTGTTGTCTAAATTTGAGGGTCAAAGATGGAAGTATGTGAAATCTTATTTTTTATATAAAACTGAGCTTCTGATGCAAATATGAGCTGATAATAGAAAATTAGAGGACTAACCAGAGCTTCTGATAAATCTTCATAACCTGAATGGGGTTGAAGTTATAGGTCTTTCAGCTTTTCATTGCCTTTACTACTCTTATTTTCACAAAAAGCAACCTATCACCTTCCACAACTGTGCTTAACATGTAGTGCTTTGACTGGAAATTTTTTGCCTAATCAGCCTGTGATGCTTTCTTTGCAGTCATTGTGGTGCTGTTTGTAACACTAAGACGACATAAGAACGAACCCCTAATCATCAAAGATGATGAAGATGTGAGGGAAAATATTATTCGCTATGATGATGAAGGAGGTGGAGAAGAAGATACAGAAGCTTTTGACATTGCAACTTTGCAAAATCCGGATGGAATTAATGGATTTTTGCCTCGTAAGGATATTAAGCCTGATCTTCAATTTATGCCCAGGCAGGGTCTTGCACCTGTTCCTAATGGTGTTGATGTTGATGAATTTATTAATGTAAGGCTTCATGAAGCTGATAATGATCCCACAGCTCCACCATATGACTCTATCCAGATTTATGGCTATGAAGGAAGAGGGTCAGCGGCTGGTTCCCTTAGCTCATTGGAGTCCTCTACATCAGACTCAGATCAGAATTTTGACTACCTCAGTGAATGGGGTCCTCGCTTTAAAAGACTTGGAGAACTTTACTCAGTGGGAGAAAGTGACAAAGAAACTTGACAGTGGATTACAAACTTTTTCACTGTTGACTTAATGATCATGTAATATTCTAGGGCCACTGCTGTTAGTTAAAACTAATGTGGCTTTTTGTTTTAGAGGCAAGTTTAGCGCCAGTCATCTATAAAATCAACTACATTGTAATGTTGAACCAAAAAAAAAAAAAGTATATGTTAGGAGGTTAAGTCTTGTGGAGTGTGAAGTAAAGTATGTGGAGTGTCTAGAAGTCTTTGGATATTTGATATTCACTTGACCACTCTGAAGATCGAGATTTGGATCTTTGATTATCTTCAGTGAATTGAAAAGAACAAAAAGAAATTGGTGCTTTGTTAGAAAATGGACTTGCAGGGATTTTGCTGTTGAACAGTAGCTCCTGCCAGTAAGTGTAAAGCTAATGGTTTGTTTATGCATTGCCAACAAAGATGCCGCCACAGAAATGTTAAAAGCAATATCTTGGTCTTCTTAGCAATGCTGAATAGAAATAGCATTGTAAATTCCTACTGGCTTCTACTGTGCAGTGACCATACATTGTACATACAGTCATTGTTGGCCACGTAACCACAGACTGAATATCATCTTTAAATATTGTGTCAAGCCTTAAAATATTCACATGTTCTTAATCCATTCCAGTGATGGGAATAAATTCTACTAATGTGCAGAGATTCAGAGGTAGGGCTACAAAACCTTGCTTTACAAAAGGATCTTTTTCTAGAAGAAGGATCAATCCTGTGCTTCGTCTTCTGAAAGGAAAGAAAAAACTGTGAAACGGGATGGACTTACATATATGAAAGAATTGCTGATTTTATTGCTAAAGATCGAATTTATTTGTTTAATCTTTGAAATAAATATTTTATTGATGTCCATTACTGCTTTTATTTATTAAGACTGATAATCTATAGAATAAGATTATGAAGAAAACTAAATTATATCCATTAGATTTTTTTCTATATATAATGAATGTTTAATACATGTACATTTTGAAATGAAAAATGACAAATTGTTGCAGGTTAAAGCAGTGACCTATCCATTTGCAGTAGCTGAATTTTAAGAGAATGCTGGCAGGAATAAAACTTTCCCAGAGAAAACTTTTGACAGTTTTATATCTTCTTCATAAATCTAGTACCTGGTGTTTTTAATACAAGCACAAACAGCTGGAAGTAAACTGGTTCATGTGAATATTTAAACTATAGACTTTTAGAAATCCACACATAACACAGTACAGTAAAAAACATGCTTATAGTTCTCCACTGTATTAGAGCAGGAACCAGTGTGTACATAATTTTACTGCTTATGTTATTAGCATTTCTTTTCTATAATATTCATAGTGATGCACCAGGGCTCTTGCACACAGAGAAAGAACACTAGAAGCTGCAAGCATACTCAATTTGTAATGCAAACTTGCCATTTAGAAGTAGCAATTGTATAATAAAACTACGTATTACATGCAAATCATCTTAATTTTCTACTTTGTTTTGAAGCTATATTATTGTTTGTTTATTTACTCCATGTATTGTATTCAGAGAAACTCCTGTATTGTTTCCTACTTTGTGAAATATATTTTTATAAATACTTTTCTGGTTATTGCTTTTCTTTCAGTTTTCCTGTACACTGCAGAAAGGAACCTGCCTGAGTAACTTCATAGTTTTTTTAAGGAATGGAGTTCTTTCAAAATCATTTATTTATTAGTTGAATAGAGTCAAAATAATAATAATAAAAAAAAGAGGATATTTGAAGCAATTTTTGACAGTGTTTGCAGAATTAGATATGCAGCAGCCTGTGACCACAGGAGTTATGTGTGTCTAATTCACTGCACCATGCTGAAAAATAACCTCACACTTTTTTTGCTAAAGTATTGCTAGTAAAAACAATCCCCCTTCTTTAAGCTCCTCAGTAACGTTTGTTCTGCGAACCAAAATATCTTAATGCATCACCCTCAATTTTGCTTGTATTTCAAAATGGAAATACTAACCTTGCTTTAGCTGCGGCATGGCTGGTTTTAATGCCTGTAGTTTTTGGACAACTAATAGCTATTACCACTTCTATATGTATTATTAAAAAAAATTGAAATTAATGAAGTATCCAATTCATTTAAGTTACACTTCATTAAAAAAAATTGCCTCTGAATAACTTTATCTAGCAATTTTGGCAATACTATAAACTAAACAGTGAAGTCATCTAAAGACAGAAAAGAAGCAGTCATCAAGATTTCAATGAAATCAAACATATTTATGTAACAGGCTGTAATAAAAGCCAGACACATTCTCACTGATCACTTGCAACAAATGCCAGGGTGTTCTGAATTGCCATGCCAAATCTAATAGTAGTGAAATGGAAAAGTCTGAGTCGAAACTTAGACTGAGCTGATTTCCAGTCTACATCCCAATCCTAGGAGCAAAGGAAGGTGCTGTGAGATATGGATCACATTATTGTCTATAGTCACCTAAGCGTTTAGGGCAAGTACCTCTGGCTATGAGTTATAGTATATACTGTAGGGCTTTGCAAAGCTGTTTTGTAGGAAAACTCACAAATGGATAACCTTCTGATTGCCTTTTTGATTGAAAGTTCCATCTGAGACCACGACAGCACATTCAGTAATAAGATTTCCAGGAAAAAAAATCCCATCACTGGCACTGTAGGAGAGTCGAAGCATGACAGAAATCTCATCATTGTCAGTCAAAAAGAGATGGTAGCTACTAATGCTGGGCATAGCTGTAAATTGTGCATTTATACAGGTTTTAAACATGAATATTTACGATGTAAAGAGGAGAAAAAAATTAATGAATTTGTGAACTGTCAATAGCAACGTGCTGTTTCTTGAAGTCATTGCTACCCCACCAAAGGGAAATGATTCATTCTGCAAACTAATTCCGTGTAACTTGAATATAAAATTCATACCAATACATGTTAGAGGGTTAAATGTTGATCATTCAGTTTTCCAGCACTTGCCCTTTTTTTTACAATGAAATTAATCCAGTATAGAATTGTTGTGGATAACAATGGTATTTAGGGGGATTAGAATCATATCATTCTACATTTCAAATCTAGATTTAGACATATTAGCGACATTCTTTTTAAGCATGTAAAATGGTAATTCATCTTTTTCAACAACATTTAATTAGCAATTGACTCATTGTAAGTGACAAGGAAAATGCATTAAATTAGAATTATTAATACTGACAAATTAAATTCTTAAAATCTTTTACAAGTGCCAAGCGCCTTAGAGTCCCATTGATTCTGGCTTGCCTTCACCTAGCTGTGTCTCATACTCATTTGTCAGAACTGCTAAAGTAAATCATCCCACACATAAAAGCTGGAATTCTAAGTTTTTGGCCTGGACATTTTCCAGACACAAAATTCAGCTCAGACATTTAAATATGCAAGTACTGTGAAGCGAATAGGTGTACATGTTTACTGATTATAACTCAGAAGACTAAAGGTCAATATGTTGTGTCCTTTACAGTAACTGAAAGCATATGCTATTTGTGTGCTTGAAATCAAATCATGGAAAGCTTATTTAGATGCAATACATTTTTTTTTACCTGGTACCTTTTATACCTTTTTGTCTATGATGAATTTGAAATGACTGTGAAATATACAGGAAAGAAAATGGCTGAAAATTTTCATTTAAATCAGCAGTTGCTGATCACCGGAGAAACATTTAACACTATGGCAATTCCAAATACCATCAACTATATCGCAGTGCAGCAGTAACAATTCTCAATCTGGAGAACAGACAGAATGTCTGCAAAACAGTATGTTCAAAATAACTTTATTTGTACAGCTCTGCTAGAGATGGCTCTGCTCATTTTAATATACAGAGAAAAATAAATCAACTATTCTATATCCATACAGTTGCATGTACCTACATAGAATCATAGAATCATAGAATCATTATGGTTGGAAGAGACCTCAAAGATCATCAAGTCCAACCGTACACCTGATGCCACCATGTCCACTAAACCATGTCTTGAAGTGCCACATCTAAACGTTTTTTGAACATCTCCAGGGACGATGACTCCACCACCTCCCTAGGGAGCCTGTTCCAATGCCTAACGACTCTAACAGTGAAGAAGTTCTTTCTAATGTCCAGCCTGAACCTCCCCTGGCGCAACTTGAGACCATTTCCTCTCGTCCTATCGCTAATTACCGGGGAGAAGAGCCCAATCCCCACCTCACTACACCCTCCTTTCAGGTAGTTGTAGAGGGCGATCAGGTCTCCCCTCAGCCTCCTCTTCTCCAGACTAAACAACCCCAGCTCCCTCAGCCGCTCCTCATAAGGCTTTTTCTCCAGGCCCACATATGTGTGTGGCAATTTTTTTTAACAGCCTATATGGTAATTGAATTCTAGAAATGGATGAATGGGCTTAGAAATCTTCTCTGAGGTCTGTCCAGCTTCAGGAAAACTTGGCAGGTGGTCTGTTTCTGTATCTGATTTTCTTGAGATAATTTCAGAGCTATTGAAACAGCAAAATTGAGCTATTTGGCTGTTTTGTCTCCTTTTCCCTGATCCGCTCTCCACCAGTTCACCTATCCTGAGCTATAACACTGTGAACATAATGTTAGGAAGTAAGTTCATTAAGACCACATAGCTCTTTTTCAGCTGGTTTCAACTGGTGTGTTCAGCATCTGGAAACAAGTAGGCAGGCCAGGATAGTTATGTTTGCCAATCTCCCTTCTCTCTTATTATCCTATTTGTGGTTTTTTTTAAAACAAAACAAAACAAAACCCAAAACCCCAGTGGGAGTCTGTATGCAAGTGGCTTACTTTTCAGATGGAGTCAGAGATGTATAGTTACTTGAGCGAGTTCACATGCTGCATAAAAGAAATAAAAAGTATAACTGGAAGCAATACAAAAACCTATCATAGGAAGACTTACAGTGAAGCAGTCTGGGTTACTTATACCAAGGGACTGTACCTGTATTTTAAATTATGCTGAAAAATCTAAAGCTAATAATGGTGCTTTTTAGTTAATAGAATGTTCAGTAGCAACACACATTCACAAGTATTTCTGATCAAGAGAAGTGAAAAGAGGTTACTCAAAAAATTATTTTTCAGATTTTGAAAGTTTTTAGCAGTGGCAAGATGTCCTAGTAAATTAAAGCTTAGTAAAAGGAAAAAAAAAAAGTGGGAGTATTCACCATTATTAGAGTTTGCTTTCAGAATGTAGCAGGTGTCATTAGCAGCAGACAGAGAGTATTGATGGAGCAGTGGAACCTTTCTGTAGCCTATCGTTCAGATAAGTTGGACTTGTATTATTTCTACATTTGTACACTATTTGTGCAAGATAATATTCGGGCTTTGCTGAAGGTGGAAACCAATTTAACTTGCTGTATAATTCACTGTGATGGGTTTTGTAATCACACTGCAAAATGAGTCTAGCTGCTGTATTATACAATACTGATACCAGCTTATGTGCTGCAGAACTAGTCTCTCTCCAAATAATGTCATAGTATTCTAAATGAGAAAATATAAAAGCCCTGACAATGCTTTTTGTGCAACTGCAACTAAGACATCTTCCAAAATGGCTAATAAAAGCAAACTGAAGCACAGAGTTTCTGGCAGAGCCTTGTAAATGTGCTCATTAGTATTGCCACACAACTATTCCTTCTTTTTACTCCTGCTACCCCTCCACATTGCAAAAATCAAACCAGTGAAATGTACAAAATGAAAAAAATCCCCTTCCCTTCAGAGGGGACATTTAATAATTTACAAAATTCCTTTTCTTCTCATTCCTCTATTTCAGATGCTTGATCGAATGACGTTTGTGTGGTAATGACAGGCAGATAGAAGGGATGAGTAGAGGGTACCTGTTTTGTTACTTGAATGGAGAAAGTATTTATGGTTTGAGGGCAGTCGTACCCTCTCCTCAAAGTCTTGTCAAAATAAAAATCTTGCAGATGTTCCTCTAGGGAATTCTCATCACACCACATATATCCAGGGAAAGACCCTCCTTGATGTATACAAAATAGAACTGCTGTTTTTCTGTGTACTCCCAACGAACTACTTAAAGTCCAATACTAGCATCTCAAATGCATATTCATCAAATGAACATGGGCTGGGTTTTCTGTGGTAGATACCTATATATAGACTTGCTCCATGGTGCTTATGAACACGTAGATTTGTTTCTTTACTGATGTGGAAAGGTTCTGATCTGTGGAGTTTGAAATAAACAGCCAGTAAGACAGAAGGCAGGTAGCATTGATAACTGATGGTAAAAGGATGGATGATTCTGGAATGGGTCCTTATTTCACATCTTAATTGGGTCTTTGTGTTGTCTAAGTCTAGCCTTGATTTTTTACCTACAGAATATTTTTTTAATAGCAAAAAAGTCAATTCCCTGCTCTTCATAACAGCTTGGATTTTTAATTATAAAACAGGTCTTATGTTTGGAGGAGTGAGTGGGGTGTCTTTTTGTTATTTCTTTCTTTGTTAATGGAACTTTCATTGATGGTAACACTGACACAGTTCACTCTGCCAAATTTCACAAGCTGGCAGTTTTAACAATTAATATGAAAATAAAAGATGTGCAATTTTTGTTAACTGAAATATGATTTGTATAATTGGAAGCA